CCCCAAAACCCCAAAACCCCAAAACCCCAGTGTATCAATCAATGTCTTAAATATCTCTTATGAATTTGTTTTAAAATCATTTATTTTCAATCTATCTTTAAATCTCCAATTTGATCTCTTAGACACTTTGGTATCTCTATTCTTCTCTTTAATCTGAATCCGCTATTTAACAAATCCTATTCTACTTTCTTCTCAATGTTGTATTCCAGCATTGTCAAATCTCTTAATGAATTCTTATCAAATTTCATATAAATGATTGCTTTTTTTATCTAATTGGGATCGTTCACCTATCCAGATAATATATCTGAGTAATCTTATCTATTCTTATAAGGAATCGGTATAAACCACCTTAATACTGGATCTCCTCTGCCACCTGAAGTCATCATTTCTTTTATATTTTCCCAAATAATATCCTCACCTTTTTCATTTGTTCGCGAAAAGTAGAACTTCTTATTTTTACCATATTAAAGCTTGTGAAATTTGCCTTTATCATAAGTAGATCCAATTATAGACTCCTCAACAGCATGCATATTTCTTCTGCAAGTTTTGGTGTACATAGTTATCAATGCATAGTTGTAGTATGCAGTAAGAGGATTGTGAATTAATAAAATTACTGCTAATACTTTATCAGTTGTTGAGAATACCTCCCATCTATAATCATAAACAGTATATTTTAAAGCAATAGCGAAACTAAATAAAAGGAACTATAGGAAATTTATTAGGTATAAGAATAATAGGCTATAAGAGAGATATGTGAGAATATACCTAGAGGTTAAATTTAAATTTAGACACTTACAGTGATTGAGGCATGAAGAAAAACAATAAAGAGGTGATAATTGTTTACTCCAATACAATTAATGGCAAGTCCACAATGATGATCATACTTAACGCAGCATCTATTACATATACTGCAATGATGCATTCTTGGTAACTTGAAAACATTACATTTATTGCAAAATTTGAACTTCCTTTCATCAGAGTTTTGCGAATTAATCAAATCACATGGAAGAAAATAGTTTTGGTAAATAATTTCATCAGCATTAGTCTCAAAGGTTGGTATAAAATTTTCAGGGTCTTCTTTACTTTTTCTTAGAAGTTCTTCATATTTTTAGAACTATATTATCGAAACAAAGTTATAAATGTAATTTTTACAGCTTGATTGATGACCAGCTTTTATTTTTCATCTAGTCTACCAGGATCACAAAGAGCAACATTGAAGTATATGACGAATTCATAGAGGCATACGAACCAAAATAGATATTTTTCATACCCTCCAATGTCTGGATGTTGAATTACCCAATATTAAACAGAAATGGAGTAGAAGTAAGAAAACATAGCGAAGGCGAATTCTACTCCAAGTTTTTTAGATCCTAAGCTAAAGTAAGCCATTATTATTTACTGATTAATTAATTCAGTAAAAAACGAAATTTAAATATATATTTTAGTTGAAATAATCGTTATCTAGTTTTCAGGGGTTTTGGGGTTTTGGGGAGATC